AAACACGGCCAATGAAACTGAAATATAAAGTACCTGAAACTGTCTGTCTCAAAATAATGATCTCCACCTGCAAATGACTCACCATTAATGACCACCTGCAAACATCAGGCAAATACTTTGTTTCTTTATTACTACGTATTATGAAGTATTTTCTTTTTAGAGTGCTTTTTCATTTGACTATTTCATTTAAATTGGGTTAAATTTAATCAGTAAATAAATAAAAATTGTATTTCATTTTAATACAAAAACAATTCCATTAGTTTTATGTTGGAAATTATTTTCAAAAATAACACTACCCGCATCTCTATATAAAAGACATTTTTCTTTATAATAGTTGATCGAAATTATTTTTAGTTCAATTTATTTTAATTTTGATTTTGAAAAAAAATTACTTCATATATATTTATGAACTACATCAAAAGTTTTGCAAAAAAAGGGACAATACTTTATCAGTTTGTGAAATTATCGATGATATCATAAGGGGAGATAGGGGGAGATAGGTACCATTTAGTTCGCTAAGTGCATTAACAACATACCTAGAGAAATGTAGGAAGTGAAGCCAAAGATGAAGGTGATGGACAAGAACCAAGCAGTTATTTCCAAAGAACCCTCAGCTAAAATAAAAAATATATAGTTTTCATATATAATGTAATTATAGAGATACTTTTGTTATTAGAAAACTTGGTCTAAAATGGTTGGTCTAGAAATAGCCACATAGTACTTATCTATTGAGGGAGAACCTACTTATGGGACCAAACATGAAGAACTTAGCCACATAATCACTACACTGCCTGCACACAACATGGAAATGGTATTAAGAGGAAAATTCTTACCTGAACTATGTAAATCTCAATTTATGAAATATCTAGGTATACCTGTGAAGCAATGGTGATGGATGAAAAAGTGCATGTACGAACAAAAGTACCTAAACTGGATTCTTAGAACTTCAACTTCATCAATGGAAATGTCCATGTACACCTTTGAAGCAATAGTAGAAGACAAAGTAGTGTCATCTGCAAGCACAAACATTAAATACACAAATCCCCATATTATCACATCTACACACAGGATTATTGCAACACAACTTACTCATATACTCTTTCACCAGATTTGATACAGACTCCAACAATTACAGAATCCCCAAGTGAAGATTTCTGGAAAATATAGTCCACAGCACTCTTGTCACAACGACTAAGTCTCAATTTCACAGCCTAAACAAAAGAGAATCCAGAACACATTATCGTATGTAAGTAGACTGTTCCAAAGTTTAACGTTGGATGGATCACTCTATTTAAGAGAAGATTCAAAGAAAGATAACCTAAAGGTCAATCCAAAATTAATTGTCACCAAGAAACAATATTCTAGAATATTATTTCATTCAGCTTGATGAATCCCTTCTAAAAGTCAGTAGAATGTATTAAAGATCATTCGTAGCACCATCAACCTCTAAGTGAAGAGTTCCTTCTTCTTCAAATCACCAAAGTATTACTGATCAAAACAACGGGCAGAGCTTATGTTCATTCATGGACTTACATGTCCATCCATGAAGACCATCTCAATAGAGTTTATGCTCTTCTCATCACTCTATACGGGCAGAGTATATAGCCTTATTACACGAATGCTGAGCCTTCAACATTCAACATGGATAGCTTTAGTCTTGGAAACCTTAAAAAAATGCATGGTTCAGTACAGGGTAAAAGTATTCAGTTTATTCAAGTAAAGGAAGTGTCGTGGGTTGTGCGTGTAGAAAATACATATAGCCATGGCAAAAATAATCGTGGGAATCAAGAAATGGGTCATTTAAGGTATTCACTGTGTAAATTGGAATTGTGAATTCGAAAGTACTAAATCGGATCTTACCAAAATAAAGGTCCTGAAGCTTCCAGAATTGTACATGACATCTAGCTTCTCGAACGGGTTTAAGCAATTCCATGACATCAACCTCAAGGCTTATATTAA